ATCAAATCCTAATCAAATTCTAAATCCTAAATCAAACCCTAACTAAATCTTAAATCCTAAACCAAATCCTAAATCCTAAACCAACCCTAAATCCTAAACCAAATCCTAACCCTAAATAAAATCCTAACCAAACTCTAAACCCTAAATCAAATCTTTACCAAATCCTAGTAATTTCTACAACACATTTAAACCTCAATAACTAATGAATGAATCGTTGATCTTAACTCAAAAAAAATTTAATTCTTAAAAACTAAGTTGAAAACAAGCACAAAAAATTTGAAAAGGATCGAAATTACCAAATAGACGATAACCTCAAAAACATGCTTGGTTATTACTTCCTTCTCTAACTTTGATGTCAATCTCTCAAAGCCAATATCTCTTTTTTCCAATATTCGATTGATCTCAAAATTCTCATAAATATAGAAAAACAAGTCTAATATCCTCACACATAAATTTCACTCCAATTCAATTAGTAAATTGTAAAAAATCTTAAAAACCCTCACTAGACTTAAAATTCTACTTTCTGAGACCTTGATCCTCTTAAATCTCAATAATCCTCAATTCAACCGTTAGATCGAGCTAAGATTGACAACACATATTAAGCACAACTATGAACATTAACCTACAAAATTTCAACCGTAGATCTATTACAAAACTCTTAAAATCACTAGAAACATTAATCCTATTTTATTTCACAAACCCCAAGTCATCCAAAAACAAACTTGACTTTGTAAAGCTCTTACAAAGTCATAACAAATCCAAATCACCCAAATCCAATGCTCATAGATACTCTATCTAATCTGCTATCAAACTCTACTCTCCAATCTCCAAAAGAACCTCCGAATGGCCATAGGTCCTCGGTTTTGTGCCTCAGGGTCTGATTTTGACCCAAGTTGATAACCGGCCCTCCTTGGATATCAATATCTAGTTTTTTTAGATAATTTTTGCTAAAATTTACTCTCAACTTCCTCCTAAAGATGTCTATATTATTTATTTTTCCAATCTACCTTATTTTGCCTTATTTTTAGCCCTACAAAATAAGTAGAAGCTATTTTTTCTGAAAGGGCAGCATTACTACTAAAAGTTTTACTACCTTCTTATCTTTTACCCATATTTTTTTACTTTATCTTTTAACTTGGCTCTTCTATAATAAGATCCATATTATTATCTTTCACCATATAGTTGTATTTTAACACAACAACGCTCTTAGGATAGGATGCCATCTAATGATTCTATGTAGAAAAAAAATAACATTTTGAAGAGACAAATAAGTAAGATGAGCACCTTGAATTCTTTCAAATAGCTTAATACTAGATAGGTAAATAATAATATTACAAGGTACATTTTGCTTGGATCCATCTTTAGGCAATATAATAGCAATTTCTTCAAGAGTAGTCAAAAGTTTATATTGATGTTAATTGCTTTTATTTATGAAGTCCAAAGAAACAATAAAATATACTTCCACTACTCCTTTATTTTGAATTTGAGATAATATTTCATGTACTTTCTTATATAATCTAATAAATGGTGCTAAAATAAGTAAATAAAAATGAAAGTAGAATAAGTTACCATATAAAAGATATTATCTTAGATAAGTTACTAATGGTCAAAAAATTTATTCTTGGTAGTTAAAAAGGGCATCTTATGGATATAGGATGAGATCAAGGACCAAAAGTAAAAGTCAAGAGGATAAAATATAAACTAGGAAATATCCAAAGATTAGATAAGAGTAATTAGTATTTGGCATAGGATACTTTTGTAATTAGTAAGATATTAATGGATTCTAGGACCATGTGTGTAAAAATCAAAGAGTGGAAGTTGTCTTCTAGGGCAACAACCATCACCTATAAGTATTAAGTGTTGGAAGTAAGAGACATCTTAGTCCATACTTTCTTTAAGTGTAACCTTGTTGATGCTAAGTATTGTGACTTGTGAGTCATTAAATTGACTCACTAGTTATTTTAGGACAAAAGAATGTATATAAAGTACCAAAATTACAATTATTAGGTGAAGATGTGCTTTGATGATGTTAAATGAAAGAGAATAGTATTAGTGAAGAAGAAATGGAGTCTTAGTAAATCTTGGAGGTATTTATTTTAGTTAATTTAAGATTTTTATTTATTATTAAATAGTAAAGTTTAGTTACTAAGGTCAATATTTATATTGGCCTTCTATCTATATTTATATATAAGTAATATGTATAATTAGAAAAACTATAAATATTAATTATATAAGTAATATATATAGATAGAAGGCCAATCTATTACTTATATATACTACAAAACTAGTCATAGTCTATTCATTGAGTTTTTATCTAGTGAAAAATAAAAAAATAAAAATAAAAAATATATTTTTTAAATTTTGATTTTTTTAATCTTTCCAATGGTATAAGAAACATATAAATCTGAGTTACTATGAGTAAGTTATGAAGTTTTGAAAAATAAAAAGAAAAATTATAAACACTAGTTAGTAGTTAAAAGAAGCATAAGAAAGAACCTCATGTCTTTTTAGTTAGTTATATAAAAAATAGGATTTATAGAAGATTTAAATTGATTTTATTACTATAAAAACCACCAAGATAAGAAATTATATTCTTAAATAAATATTAATATTATAAAACTATTTAAAAAAATTAATTTTATCTAGAATTTATTTAGAATTATTTAGGAATTTTTAGAGTAATTTCCAAAACTTTGCTAAAAATAAATTTTACTACTTTGAAAGCCATTATGAAGAAATGGAGCAAGATTTGAAGGCCACGCAAGGCTTCTAAGCTAATTGGATGTTTTTCAACACCATGCTGAAGTCAAAAATGCAAAATTATGGAATTTACTAGTAAAAAATAGGAGGACCAGTAGCTAGTGTAGTCGTTGTAAGAAGGGAGGTGCACAAGGCTCATATGGATTATAGTACCTTGAAGGTAGTTAGGAAGATAAGACTAAGGCCTCGTGGCCTCTCTTAGGAAGCCATATACACTACTTGTAAGCCTTAGTGAGGTTCAAACTTCTGATCTCTTAACGAAGTTATCTTTGAGGTAAAAATTATTTACTTAATTTTTCCTTTATTTACTTGTTATATTTCAAACCTTCATAACTTACTCATAATAATTCGGATTTATATGTTTTTTATACCATTGAAAAGATAAAAATATTAAATTTTTAAAAATATATTTATTATTATTATTATTATTTACTTTTTATTAGATAAAAATTCAATGAATAGACTATCATTAGTTTTGTAGTATATAATTGCTTGATTTCACTTATTCTACTTGTTTTGTATTTTATTTCTTTTGTTCTTATTCTTGTTACTTTCACTTCATATCACCCATAATAAATAACTCTTAATTGAGGCCATCTTATAATTGGGTTAAAAAGTGAATTTTATACTCTCAAGACTTTATAGTATTTGTTCTTCAATAGGTTTTAAGCCCATTCACCTTTAGTTGTCAATTGTGAAGTTCTTTGAAGTCTCACTTATTGTAAAGAGTAGATCTTTTGGTTGTTTCTAATATTAAGATTTGATATCATCTAATTCTATTATTATATCTAGTTATTGATATAGTTTTTACTCTTATTTATTATTAAGTACATTGATAATTTTAGAGGTTATTACATTAGAATGATATTTTAAAACACTATTATTGTATTTTTTTGCTAATTTATATCATTTTTGATCTAATATTATAATTTTATGTGGTAAAATTTCCTTGAAATATTCTTATAGTGAAAAGAATTGATTTGTGAAGTTAAAAGTATTTTATGAAAAAAGATGGGTATTTAAGGAATGACAAAGCTTATACAAGAGGTTTAGATAGAGTATAAGACTTGTTAGAAGTCCTATAAGTGAAGTTGAGAGTGATTAAAGAATGATATTACTAGTTCACTTATAAAAATCACATTTTGAATTTTTAAGGCAACAATGCCTTCTTGTTGATTTTTAAAGGTCTTTCTTTTCTTTTATTCATTTTCTTTTATATATCTCTTTTTTAGACATGGCTTCAAGTGAAGGTGAAGGTTTGAGAGATTGAGAAGTTAAGAAGTGACAACTTCTACCATTGGAAGAAGAAAATAGAAATTTTATTGGCTTTATTGGACCTTTGGGATATTGCAGATAAAAGAGAAGAGCTTCCAAATAATGATATTGATGTTAAGGTGAAGAAGAAGTAAAAAAGTCATGAAAAGAAGGCTTTTGGCATGATTGCATTAAATTTGGATGATGCCAACTTTTCACATGTAATTGCTTGCAATGGACTCATAGAAGCATGAAAAACTCTTTACAACATCTATGAAAGTAGAAACCTTGCCAACATTGTATGGATAAAGAAGAAGTTCTTAACAACAAAGATGGAAGAAGGAGATGAACCTCCTTTTAGTGAGCAAACTATATTTAGTCCTTTGCAATGTCAAACATCAAACACTATTGTATTGAATATTGAAACATTGTCTCTTTAGTAATGTAGAGTTGTATTCTTAGTTGCCATCTTTGGAGAGTTTGTAGAATTCCCAATGTGAAAATGTCTTTAGCAACATCTCATGAATTGTTTTAAAACCTGATTTTTTTCCACTCAGCAGCCAGGAGTGGAAAGCTGGCAGGTACCATGTAGCATTTTATGATGGTTAAAACACATTTCTGCCCATGTTGAAAACGATTGTAATTCAAATTTGCACTTAAGTGCATGGTTCTTAAAATTCGAGATAAGTCAATCAAGGGGTATGAGGCCTAAATTTTTGGATTACAGTTGGGATTTATGGTTGGCGATAGTTTAGTGGTTTATTAATGCAGAATTCTGTTGTTTTGTTTTGAATTACCATAACTACCTTCATGAAGCAGAAATTAAATGTTGACTGCAATAAACTATTTGCAAGGGAACGGGTATATTCGGAATCGAAAATACAATTGTCGTCGAGGAGGTTGAGGTAGTGGCAGTGGAAGGGGCATTGGGGTAAGTGTGGTGATTCCTATAATTTTCAATAACGCTTTTGCGTACTGACTATGTGTCCATCCTGTCTATTCTCTTTACCATTTGGGGTAGTTGGAGTCGCATCCTGATTTTGGAGACGCTATTTGCAAGTTGCATCATATTTGTGCAGTGATACAATGGACCTTTGGTTGATGTGGTTGCCACTTGTGATGAGCAGTTGGCGAATCCCTTGCAGAAATTCACCAAAGATTTTGTCTTCACAGCCATGAATGAGAAGTTTAACAAAGACGAGGTTTGGGGAGCGCTTAGAGGGAAAGAGGAGGAAGAAGAAGGCGATTATGATGATGGAAGCGTAGAAGATGAGGCGGTCAATTCTGCGCAGACAGATGCGCCAAAGAAGGTGATTGTTGTTTTCAGTTGGACAACGCTTTAGATATTTTTGCCATTGAGTTCTTGTAGCGGAGATGGTTGGAAATGTGTGTGTTCCTGATATGAGGATCTTATGATACGAGTATGGTTGGCCATTCAAATCTGCAATAACTTGTACACTGTTTTGAAGTTGTAGGATGATTGTGTCTTCTGTATAGTTGACTTGAGAGCATGGTGGTTTATGTTATCAGTCCATTTACAAGGACAATTTCTTCAATTCACTATCCAGCGATGCAACAAAAAGAGGGCGCAGTGAGCGCACCAAATTCTTTGAGCAGCGCAAGTTTGACACTGAGGTATGTCGCCCTAGGTGACAAGCTTACTTGATTACGTGCATTGTGGCAATGAGCTCATGATGGTACAGGCACATGCACTGTTGTGCAACCATAGGATCATGTTGAAGACGGTGAAATAGAGGTTTCATCATCAAAACATGTTGGTTTATTTCTTTTGTGTGGTTAGATCAACGTGAACATTCGCGTGAGAATTGCTAATAGACACGGAACATTGTTTCACTGTGACACTCATCTGGTGGCTGCATATACTTTGGTCTTGCATTTATACCGCTGTTGTGTTGCAGATTGACTAAATTTCTGGGGTTTCCAGACATTTGGAGCTTTTCCAGTGAGGACTTGCGGGGCCGTAGCAGTCCTGGAAGAAGTCGTGGAGGCGACAGGGGCGGCAGCTATGGTGGCGGCGGTGGGAGTTACGGAATAGGTAGAAGTGGTGGTTATGGCAGGGGTCTAGGTGTGGGCCGTGCCTCGTCTGGCAATGTATGAGAAGTTAAACCCGTTGGATATAGGAATCTGCTCTTAGTGTGGCATTTGACATCAGAGGCGGAACGATGATGATTTAAGATTTTTTTAGGATTGTGGGGTGTGTAGTTTATGCACATGTTAACAGTAAGGATGTGAGAGGTTCTGTAGACGATTGCAGTAATGGCTTTTTGCTTCCTGTTACAGAAGAGTTGGCAACGGAGGGGTGTGACGATCACCAAAGCACCCTTGGTAAAGATGGATCTCTAGGTGGTGCAATCGCCACGCTCAATGTATCCTGCTTTGGAGTCGAATTCACAAGCAAGAAACCACCTGTATAGCACCTGAATTGGCATAAGAAGTAGGCTGTAAGCTTGATATCTCTGCAGTCCTCGGAAGGGAAGACGAGTACTTGATACGTGAACAGTTATCAGGTGGTTTCAGTCGGAACGATTTGGAGTGAAATTTTTAAATCGCTTCAAATTTTGAGATATGCTGCAACAACGATGTGAATAGTGAGGCTTGGGTTTTAGATGGCCGTGTAGACCTAGGCTGCACAGATTGGACACCAGGCGTCAAATTGACCCTTTTGTGTATATTGTTTTGTCGGCTTCGGTGGTGAAATTTTATTCATGGGAATAAGCTAGAGCCTTTCACTGCTCAATTTGTTCATTAAGGTTTATGGTCACCATGTTGAATTTTGAGATGGCTGTTTATCAACGCCCGATTCTTCTATGTTTCAACGTCAGTTTCTTGCACATGGAGATGCTATGTTTGTTGGTGCTTTGTCTGCTTGAGCCCACGCAGGTGTGCGTGTGATTCCGGTGTTCATTAATAATTAATCCTTATCACGCTACCTTTAGTTAAACCATACATGCAATGTGATCTTTCCTCAAGTATATCTTCTGGAGAGGCGGATACAAGCAATGCAGTCCAGGCCCCATCTTTACTGACCATCCCAATTTTTTTATTTCTATCTCGGATTAGTCAATTTACCAAGTCCGTCGCCCAGTACATGTGAGAAATAGTCTCTAAGATCTCTTACCTTTCTAGAATTGTGAAAATTCTTACATCCACAATGAAAACTTGCCACTATTGTGAAGAGTAAGACTGACCAGTCAAGGTGCCAACCACAATAAAGTTGTTCCAAATTCAATCCTGAGGGAGAGAACCCAAGGCATGAAGGGCATGACGAGTAAACCACTCATTCTGTAGAATGAATAAGGGATATTTGACACTACCACAAATTGAGATTTTGTAGAGATTACAAAACAAAACTCTGCAAGATATTAGGACATCTTCATTTATGTTCAGATAATGAATGAGTTAGCCAGTGAAGACACGGAAATGAGTGCAATTGGGACCTTGCTAGTTGTAACTCACTAATTAAAATCTTAGATATCTTTAAAAACAATGAAAGAAAATAGAACATTAGAATATTGTATTCCATTGTAATGAAAATAAAATTCAACAAGAGCCAACAAGGAAACAATTAAAACCATACTTAGATATTAAGAAAGTTATCAGCAATTTTGAAATAACAATGTATCAAACATAATGTATTCTGGGCTCACTTGTCCCAATTAGAGCTGCAAACCTAAACAAAAATTTGCACACAGGCTAGAGATTTAGAAAGATGCGCAACCAAAGTAACCATCACCATTTACAAACAACATTCATGAAGGTGAATATTTGTTGAATTGTCCCTATGAGTGTTAAAAACAAGAGGACTAATTCCACAGACGTCCTTGATACCAAATGCAAAGATCCATCACCCACCACCAATTTTGCTATCCTTATTTCTCACAAATCTTCAATCACACTAATACCAGGGTATTACTAAAACTAACAACAATAGAGCCCCATGAACATGTTTTTTGAAAAACTATGGCTACCACAAAGCTCAAAAATCTCAACCAAGTAATTCAAATTGTTTGTGATGATTTTGAAATTAAGTGAAATAAATTGACTCGAAACCAATTGTAAGATGAGATACATTTTAGGATTAAAAACTGTTACCCTAAAATGAATTTACGTTAGAAGAGGTGCAAATTGTTATTGATTGTACATAGTAATTCTAGAGAATTGTTAATTGTATATCCCCAATTGATATTGCTACACCCTACTTGGTCTTCTCATTGACAACTAGCTAATAATATCTCTCTTTCTTTCGTGCCTTTTTCCCTTTCTTTTCTTTAAGGGTGGTGGTTGAGAAGTCTGAATATTTTATAAAAAAACAGTACAAGATGTTTCTCTAAAAACAACAAAAGATCTGTCTCAAAATTTGTTTACTTTAAAATCCTAATATTTTTTGATTGTGTTTTTGTTATTCTATTTCTAAAGAAAATATTAGGATTGAATACTGGGCTACCAAATGCACCCTAAGCATGGACCATGCTTTTAGTCAGTTTAAATCTTACACACTTTTTAGTCAATTTAAATCACATGAAGATCATGTGTAGCAGTATCAATTGGGATGTAGAATTAACAATTCTCTAACTCTAAGAGTTGTATACAATTATATGGATATCAAATCAACTTCAAAACACCATTCACGGATCCTAACCCTTTCTCTTAGATTTAGTAGAGAAAGATTATTTACTTCGGGGTTTCACACGACGGACGTGAAACCATCAAAAATTTAGAAACGTGTGGAGAAGTTCGTGCAAGTAATTCTGTCGAGAAGCTACCACACCCATTGAGATGAACTACTGAGTTAAGAGCAAGTGCAAATTGTAAGGGTTTTCAGTGTTTTTGAGGAACAAGACAACTCCCTAGTTTAAACGCTTACACATAAATTGGCTTGCTGCAAGAGATTTGATGATGTAAAAAGTAAAACAAAAGAGTTCAACTTAGAAAAAGGAATCCCCAACAATACGCTGTCATAGTTGCACACAGCCTTCAACAATATAATAGTGATGAACATCATAATGTGCCTGTATTGATTCAACAACCCAAACAAAAGCTGATGGATAGCAGTTCGATTCTGTCCACATGAACATCAGCAAACAGATGTTCATCGAGGAAGTGGCTCCGTCGCCTTTTGAAGCCATTCCAACTCAAGCCCAGAAAGCAATGGACTAACCTTCTCCCGACACACTTTGTGATAATCATCAACCCAATCCTTCTCAACTTCCGACATCGATGATAGGTCCATAAGCTTTGTCTGATACGGCACCTACATATTACCACAAACAAACCACTTAAAACAATTGTCTCCACATCCTCTCTCTCAGACAAAAACCAATAAATAGACATAAATGAAGAACAAGAACAAAAACAAGACACGTAAGCTAAAAAGTAGCATAGCAGATTTCACAGAAGAACACCACAGACTTATCACTTACTGAGCATAAAGCTTTAAATTTCCCTCCTTGGCAAAAGAAACTGTTACAAGACACAGAAATGATGGAAGTAGGCATATTCTATTACCCAAGTTATGTGTTCAAAAGCAAGATAGCCCTTATCTCCAAAATTGTGCTTCGCTTGTGCCTCCTTCACAATCAGGACGTTCTCAATCCTAACTCCAAAGTTCCCATCCTCATAGTATCCAGGCTCTGATTCCACAAACATCACCTTAGTTTAGCCGCTCCTTGAAGTAGGCAAGCTAGTACCAGGGTTATACGACTAATCTCAATCATGACCATGCATCAGCAAAACATTTTTATGCAGGACCAGATGGTGCACGAAACTAACTAAATCAAATTGTTTAACGACCTCTAGCTTCTAATTCGCTTACGTTCTTGGGTCAAATCTACATTTCTTTGAAAGTGAAATTCATTTCTATTCGCAACTAGGGATGATTACCATCAGTAACTGTCATATTTGCCTGTAAAGCAACATTCCTTGCTTGTGGCCTGAAGCTGATAAGGTGAGGTCCTGTTAACAACATAGAAACAAAGTAAATCATACTTAACTCAATTGGTTACTAAAGCAAATAATGAGTTGATGTCGCAAGGATTGAGTTCAGAAAATTAGAAAGAATTGCCATGGAATTACTCTAGCTGTTTAACTGCATGCCCAAATGGTGTAGTGTTTTAACATTTGATTGATATTGCAATGTTTTACGCTAACCAGGTCTAGTATTCAATACAAGTTTTCACACTGTACATCCATAACATCCTCACACCCTCCATACCCGATTTTGGTAACCTCGTGGTCAGGTAAAAGAGACTCCAAACAACAGATTCTCTGTAAAAGTCTTGAACCGACAGTTACAGAGGAGTGAAATTGAGGACTGAATATCGTTCCGGACATACCTTCATGCACATTTAGGTAGCAACCAACACCATGACCAGTTCCATGTCTATAGTCCAAACCATCCTTCCATAAGGGAACTCTTGCCAAGATGTCAAGCGCGTGACCTATCATTGGCACATCACACCAATTCACTATCAATCGCTAGAACAACTTCATTATCGATCTTAAATTATGCGGACGTCGCTTAATGACCTCAGTTTCTTAAAATACCATGTTCCTACTTAAGCTCGAAAAACATCCAAAACCACACAGGTGTTTCGATTCAACTCATCAATAATTTAAAGAACATTATGTTCCAGAAAATCTCAGATATTAACAATCACGTACACAGAGCCCCACTCTAAGTAGAGAACAATTGAGTAGCATTTTAAAATCAAAAGTAAAGAGGCCTAATCGACCATTTAAAAGTTCATATCATACCCGTCGTGCCACTTGGAAAGACAGCCATGTCCAAGGCAATGTGCCCCTTCAACACCTGCAACCCTTAAACTAATGCATCAGATCAAGAAGATAATGCTAATCATAACAAAACAATTACGTAATCCCAATATATTCCCAGAAAAAGCTTTGAAGAAAAAAAAAAAAACCCCACTCTAACTCCTTTACACAATATCACATTAACAAGAGATATTATTCAATAACACATTCAACTCTTCAGAAACCAACAAGGCTATGCAACGGAAGAACATACCAAAGTGGCGCAAGTTTTCTCGTGAGACGTTGGTTTTCCGAAGTGCATAGTTCTCGTAACGTCAGTGGTTCCATCAAGGTACTTCACAACCAAAATTTATTTCATCGGCAACAGGAACCCGATGAGCCACAAATTAAATTAGGTACATAAAAAATTGAATCCAACACAGTAGACCCAATTGAATTCCTTGAAAATTGCATGTAAACCACACAATAAATAAATAAACAAAATACAGCACACATTCAAGTAGTCAAAGCACATGTAACTAAAGCACAAAATCAACAGCTATGTGCAAAACAAAGTATCACTATCTGAACCCGAACAATCAAGAAGCTAAACTAGAGCGAGCCTCACCTGACCGCCTGAGTCACACAAATACATGGAATCAGGTTGCATCTCAGCACAAGTCTCTTTCTTGGCTGCATAGTGGATAATGGCTGCATTTCCTCCTACGGAGCTAATGGTCTCAAAGCTAAGACCTTTGAAATGCTACAAACAAAGTCCAACCAGAAAGCAACTCTCAACAGCAGGAAAACCTAAAAGATCCACATTTTAAGCACGACCACAGCCAACACCACTATGTGTTCGCGACTGCTATTACACAGAAAAGTCTTGTAATGGCTTCTAGAGGCACGAGACAGCTCGATGCTCCATGCAGCAGAAATGATTGTGGACTCCAACTTGATAAACGTCACTAGTTGGATGAATAAGCAAGGAGGAGGTACATGATGTGTGGAGCTACCCGAACCCGTTACACGAGAATGTCGAGCGACCAATTGATTACGACTACGTTGCATGTGCAATAAATATTTTTTAATTTAAGGCCCAAGGTAAGGCCAGTAGTGCGGTCACCACAACGCGAAGAAAAGAATAGAAACGAGTACCTCTTGCTTGGCTCTGAAGGACTCAAGTTTATCTGCAACGGTCACCTCAGTCAATTTCTCCTCCTCGCTGAATTAACATGAGCACCAAACCCTTTCAGCTTAGTATGACCTTGTCAAATAAAATATAATGGTACATGAACACAAACGTATTTCGAATAATAATGTGTCACAAAAGCGTATAATCTGAGAATAATTCTTGCCCACAGACACATTATAACAATCACCCAGAACCGAGTCCTAAACTGAACAATGAACAGTACTATCCTAAGCTGCATATTTTTGTCAGCGTGAGACGTCTTCGTTTGAAAAACTAAACTAATTGTGTGTCTTGTTTCACTTAAGCTAGACATGGAAAATTCAGTTTGACTATAGCAAGTCTATCGATGATATTTGACTTTGTGGGGTTCGGATATACATAGGTAGCTGAAACACAGAACTAAGCGAAGGATGGTTGCCAAACCATGCTGGTCGCCCAGTATATTTATAACAACACGCCAAAAAGACAAGAGACTTACGAGCGCTTCCGTTTGAGAGAGCCTTTTACTTCAGAAAAATACCCTGCTGCACCATACAAGTCTTGCATCTGCGTTACAAAATCCGTTGAAAACAAAAACATTATCCAAAGGGAAATACGCCTCTTCAGTAGCACAGCTAGTCACTTCTTTCTTTCACTTGCACGTTTTGAATTATATACGCAGTGAATTAGATAGTAGACACAGTCAAAAATACTCTACGATAAAAATCAACTACGAAAACACATCAAAACCATACAACACTAAATGTTGAAGGGATAGTTCGCTAAAGAAGTGAGCTGAAAACCTGGGCATCAAGCCAGCAAAGATAAGAAACAACAGCAGCTCCATCCCGGATGTGAGCGTTCCTCATCCCTTCCAATTCCACCGGGTGCTATTTCACAACAACCAAACTAACAGTCATATGTCGAAATCACAACCATGAGCCTATACTCCAATGATACCTTTGTATTAAGAACCACGCATATGAAGTTCTAATTACGTGAGTCAACTGAGAAGAAGAAACAAATACTTGCAGAGAAAACTAACCTTCAAAGCTTTCGCCAGGGAAAGAGGAGACTGCTGCAAGATAACTCGATTAAGTGGCACACGAGAATACACAGAATAACTGCATGTGCCAGGATCAACCCAAACAAACACGCCCTCACCAGCATGAAGAGGCCCTCGAACACTGCAATCCTCAAGTCCTTCTGTGGGTTTGGATTCAGAAGATGCTGTTTCTTCATCAATTTCATGACCGTTTGTATGACCATTCTTCTCTGCAGACTTTTTCAATGCAGAGGGCTCGTCAGAAGCAAGAGCTTCTACGTCTTCAAACACAGCCTCATAGTCACGGACTTCTACTCCATTCTCGAAAAGATATTGTTCAACCTGAGGGTGTTGAACACCGTAAGCAAAATGTGCAAACCAGTCCACAACAATGCAACTCATAGCAATTCCATTGCAAATATTTTTAGTAGTTGTACACTTCAGACGCAGACATATGAAGAATCCATTAAGTACCTTTAAATCCACTTTTGCCTTATTCACATAGTAAAAGGCAGAATCTCGGGTCACAATGGCATATGAATGAACTACAGGGTTGTAGAGCACGTCTCCTCCCCGCAGATTGTAAAGCCACGCAACCTGCACGTCCATATCAGCACTCATGAAACTCGCACATCAGTCTATTTGAAATAAGTCCATATCAGCTGCACGTTGGAATAGTTTGGATACCTATATCAGATAATATGAACCACAGCTTCCGCATTTCACATTTCTGATATTTAGAATAAGGTTTGTAGTGAGAATAAAAGCTTCCATGTCGAGACGTTACAAGGGAGCATGAACAAGAAAAATATAATGAAATATGATTCGTCAGAGAAAGAGCAGTAACATAAACCTACCTCATCAAGGGTAGTCACGACAAAAGCATAAGCCTTCTCCTGGACCAGCTTCCCACGCAGGTCATGTATCTTTTCCTTGGCTGGTCTACCTGCGAACTCTAAGGGCTGAATGCAAACAGGAGCCACGACATGTGCAGGGCGATTTTCCCATACTTTGTCAACTAAATTCTCTTTCAATGCAACGAGTTTCTGCCCGTTCTTACTAAAGGCCTGTTCCCATCGGTGAGCAGTGTCAATTGAGATACAGCACGGATCGACCCCCACGTTTGCATCTTTATGAAGGTTCTGCAACATCAATGAAAAGGATGTTTAAGACAATACTCAAAATCGGCAATACAAATAAATTGACACGGATTCGTAATCCTCACATCTTAAGAACTATGAAATCATACAATTTCTTAAAGATGCAAATTTATAAGACGTAAAATGCATTCTGTAGACATACTGCCACCAGACTTGCAACCTTATGACAAACCTCATAGCAAACTAGCTGCTAAATCACACAATGTTATTACTATTAGTAAGAAATGGAGTCTCACATCAGCAATCCAGTTTTCTAGAGAAGGGTCTTCTCCAATCCGCATCAACTTCCATTGATGACTAAGCTGTTGGGTAGCTTGCAGAAAGTAACGTCCATCGGTCCATAGTAAAGCTTCTTTAGCTGTAATCAACGCAATTCCTGCTCGAAAATTGCACTATGAATAAATGTTCAAGTAAACCCCTCTCGAATTTGAGTTTGTGTGCAGATAAGGAGCACCAAACAACAATGCAGCAAGGATAGTCTCATTTTTACCAGCGCTTCCACTAAATCCTGATACAAACTCCCGTCTTTTATCCGCATCAGCGACATACTCGCTCTGCAAGCAAACAGGTGTGAAATAAGCTGTTAATTTAGTTCTTTGCCATCCTCGAAAGGACAGAAGGAACAATACACATGATACAGTGAGATAAGTGGGATAAGTATCACTTCAAAGAAGAAAATGTGTGATAAGCTGAAAGCATTGAAACAGGCTGAAATCAAACTGAAGAATACATCCTATAAGAATTGAGGAATGGAGATGACCTCTGAGTCGCACTCAGAAATGAGCAATTTCAAGGAGCTAGCCTTATTCAAATTTTTTTTTAAAGACCTAGAAAGCACCCAAGAAATTCGCTGGGAGATTTGAGTTTCCTACACTTCATCCTAAGAGTGGACCTGCAACGATCGGGAACTGTTGAAAAGATCACTGAACTATGTCCCCTCACTATAAGGCAAGAAAACATTCCCAATCACTCAATAAGGTCGCCATGAACTTTCTTCATGCCAACCATCACTTAAACCAGCCAAGTAATTTGATATACTATAAATAATCCAGAAACATAGAAACTAGAATACCTTATACGATCTATTTATATAACTAAATGAAAGTAAAGTAACTCTTAACTAATCAGCTCGATGCTGATAGAAAACCAAGAGCACACAAATCAAAAGGCAGCCATAACAGACTGCATTGGCACCAGAGTATCTTTAACTACAGAATATGAAAGAGACACCGTATAGTGCCATATGTAACAGCATATAAGGAAGAAAGAAAGAAAGAAAGTGATTTTTTTTATAAAAAGCACAATGCAAGCTAACAAAGCGCTAGACAGTGTTATCATGCAGGTTCAATTTAGAATCAACTCCAATGCAGAGCCAGAAAAATTGTGGAAACGACAACCCGACTTTCACCACCTTGAGGGGGACAAAGCAAAAAATAAATAAGTAAATAAAAATAAAAATAAAAATAAAAACACGCACACACACACACAGCATCCCACGACAGTACTATAAAAAGTAAGAATTATTTCAAATCAGAAGAAATACATTGATTTTAAAAGGCAAAAATATAGTGAAGTGGTACAGAGAGCGAAAATAAATGCAACCGCAAACCCTGTCAAGCATATTATTCCTGCACGATATGAAAGATGACCTTAGAGCAACCACTGGACATCGCGGAAATCATTCGTGACAATATAAGTGACGGTGAAAAGTCGAGGTGCATCACAGATGTGTTAATCAATCCGAAGCCGGACTTGAAGAAACCGAAATCTTCTTAGTTTAAAGACTGTGATGATCAATCTGAAAATTTGAGGATTTGCAATCATGCGAGTGTGGCGAAACCCAACTTCATGAGAATTTCAGAGTATAATTAACACGCACCTCAGTCCAAAACCTGATCAATTTCCGATTACCAACAACCAGAAGTAAAAACGACAAATTAAATACACCCCACCCGAAAGAAAAAAAACAAAAAGAAACAACAAATCAAATGAGAATCAAAAGGGGAATATTTAAGGAAATAAACAAATAAAAAACAAAACACTGCACCACGATTCGATATCTCTGATACAGTTCACGACAATCTCGATGGCTCATAGATCATAAAAGAAACTCCCCAACCAACCCATCGGACATTCACTCAAATTTCATCGCCACTGACCTGATGATAATCTTCCGACGGCACAACAAGCGCATGAAGAGGAGGCGAATGGCTCTCCATAAGTGGCCGAAGCAACTCTAGCACATTCACCTGGGATGACGCCATAGCTCCCCAGCCCCCTCCCTCCCTCAATCTTCGGAAAATACCACTCTCTCTCTCTCTCTCTCTCTCTCACCACTCCACCTGGCTCACACGCACACACACAATTCCCAGATCCAAGCCCCTCTACCTCCCCTTATCTCTCTCTCACTACCGGTCGGCCTCGATCAATGAACTGTTTAAGAAAATTAAAGCAACCTCGAACTCAACCCCAGCCCTGCCTCCCTCCCTCCCTCCCTCCCTCCCTCCCGCCCTCCCTCCCTGTCTGTCTGTCTGCTTCCCTGTCTGTGCTCCCTATGTCGCCTGCTCGCGCTCCACATCAAGCGCGGGAAGGGAAGTGCAGATTCGAGCGATTGGTGACAGGGAGGGACACAGTGGCCGTGCCCTATAGCAAGTAAAGACACACGTAACGAGAGAGAGCGACGCGAGAGAGCGGGAGCATTAAAGGCGGGGGCGATGGCTATGGCGGACCTGCGCTCGGGTGGGGATTGCATCCATAACCCACGTCTTGTATCGTCGTTCATTCGTTCGCCTGGACGTGGATGGATACTGTTTCGTCGACTGGACTGCACGGCCATGGGCTCCGCTCCCTCTTGTGACGTGGTATGTGTGTCTGGCGGTATTGAAGGTTGTGTGACGACTCCGCTTTGTATTGTTATTACTATTACTATTATAAACAAAACTAGTCCAACTCCTTGTAATAATAATAAAAATAATAATAACAGGACTTCCAATTTGCAACACACCCGTGAGATTGCTACTTTTTTATCCATACATTTTTTAAGTATTTTAGTCCTTAGTTTCTAGGATGTTTTTTTCAGATTTGGATTGTGCAACATTTCATAAAATATGTGTGTGTGTGTGTATATATATATATATATATATATATATATATATGTTATATTATCTCCCTTTGATCTAACCAAAAAATTATTCGTCTTCTTAAGTTTTCTCATTATTGCATACATTGATCCAGAATTCGATTTATTTCATTTTATATTTTATGTTTTTGACCTTTCATGTACTTGTAAAACCTTTTGGTTTTTTCTAAAGCCGTATTGAAAATAATTTTAAATTTTCGTTCTCAAGCATTTTATCGCAATATTATGAATATTTTATTTTTTAAAATGCAGGCAATATTTTCAATGACGTTTCGTGCAAGAATAAGAAGTACCAATATAGGAGAACGAACTAAAGAGAAATGCTCAAAGGAATGCCTCGAGTACAGTGAACATGACACATAAGAAAGAACTGAAGTGTCCAACTCTCTTTTAGAAAAAAAAACAACAAAGCAAAAACAAAAAACAAAAACCCAATCCTCACAAAAGTGTTAGGAATCTTCTTTTTTCTACACTTTGACTCCTTGAGAATCCCAAATTTTAAGACGACGTGGAGTGTCAAAAAGGTGTATCGATGAAGATCCGATTCAATAACAAAAGAATACGAACACACATACATCCTCCAAAATATATAATAAATAAATAAATTTAAAGAGGTGAATGTATGGATTTGGATTTGGATTCGGAGGATCAGCTACTGGGAAGTGTGCAGCATTTTTTTGGGACGGAAGGAATGTTCTTTCGTCGTTGGACGGAGGGAGAAAGTTTCTCCGTCGGGACACTGACGGACGAAAGACGATCTTCGTCGCCGTGCGTCGGGTCAAGGAGCGAGAGTGCAAGTGCCGGAGCCTGCAGGTGGGAACGATGCTCAGCTGCAGCAGCAGCAGCAGCAGCCCAGCAGATTGCGCGATCGGGGAAGAAGAAGAAGAAGAAGAAGAGGACCAGAAGGATTTCACTGCACATCCTTGTTGAGTTACGTAATTCCTCGCCTCAGTCTCACTGTTTATTTTGCTACTTCACCAGCTGCACAGTTGCCCCAACCTTTGATATTCTCTGATTTTGCAATTGCGTCAGGAGGATTTGGGTTGCGATTGAGATTAGAGCTGGCCATTCCGGTACAATTGGAGAAAGGTTGCGTGCGTCGTAGTCATTTCTGAAAAGCCCCAGATTATGGGAGTAAACATGAATTTGTGGGAGTCGAGAGTCGGTTTCGGCAACGTCTCTAGAGGGAGAATAGGGACGTGAATTGTAGGTGTGGTTGTAACTTTGGAGGTGCGGAGTTCGTTCGCCAATGAGTGTTGCGTGTTGTGCTGCTGAAAGAGAGTAATGGGCTTTAGGCATTTGGTATTCATTCCATTGAGTTCACTTTGTAGATGGCTTCGTTTTGGGGGTCCCTTGGTGCCCCCGTGGGGGACTTGCTTCCTGTTGTTGCTAGTTTCTGCTGGAGTGATTAATGAAGCTTTCAGCGGCTGAAGATGCAATGGAACTGGCAGGCGGTGATGAAGACAAGCTCGGCGTCGCGATTGAGAGCCAAGCAGATGCTCGGGCTTGTCGGAGGTGACGACGTTGCGCTGGGGAATTATTTGGACACGCAGCAGAACGGGATGATTGTGAGCGGGTCTCCCAAGCAAGTGATTTACGATCATTTTCGCCACTGGAAGTTCCAACTTTGTGGGTCCCGTCAGCGAAGTGCTATCTTTCGGTATTAGTCACTCTCATATTCTTTAATTGCACAAAATCTCCACCGTCTAATACTTTGAGAGTATCAAGAAAGGATGGACTGCGTACTCTAAAACTGCATTTGTCGGGAATTATCTCGTTTGTTAGCATTATTATTATTTGTATTATCATTGTTTTGGTGATTTTCGGGATTTCTCATGTATGAGCAGTAATTTTTGTTGATGATACGACGAATAAGACCAATGGGCTTCTTGATAGGTGATCTAGACTTACCGATCCTGAGTTTGGGACTGTATAATAATGTGTAGAAAATGCATTTCTATGCAGACCTTGAATATTAATTTGGACAATTAATTTCTTTAGATGAAGATGCTTTGCTTTGTTGAGTTTTAGATATTGCATAACTGATGTTAGACTTTGAATAACTCGAAAAGTTTTGGTGATCTGTTTTTTACGTTCTGTTTATCTATCATTTCCGTGGGGAATGGTACAGTTGACCTGATTCTCCCGCAAGTAAGAAGCAAGCAAGTCTACCACGTTCAACGAAAATGGTGCGTTTCATGTTCGATCGCTCAAATGACAAACTGCTTATTGTGCTTGGATTTATTTATGCGCTTTCATCGTGTTCAGTAATCCTCTTTCTGATGATAATTGCAAGCATAGACAGCTAACGGGTTTTGTTGAGTGGTGAAGGCGCGTGCAGGGATATCGTTTGCTATCCGGTATGGTACTAACTTAGATCATTGAAAGGTTTTTTGAGCGTCGACGATGTGACCCTTGGTGACCTTACTGAAGTGAAAGAGAACTGTTTTGATAAAACAATCACAACAAAGTTTAAGACAACACACATTCAACGGGAGAACACACAGATAGCTTTACTGAAAAGAATTACACCAAGATCGAGATCCGTTCTCTCTCTGTCTTTGAGAGATCCCACGATACAGCTTCTATGCCTACGACACGCTTCTCACCACGAAAAAACTAAGTAATATTCCACTTCGAAGAATCAAGCCACGGCATCCCACAGACTGCGTTGTTCACACAACCACCGCTCGCTGAAGCTCCTTGAAGCTCCTTGAAGAATGTAAGAATTTCATCCTCTTTGTCAGGATCTGCAAATTCCTACAGGGTCTCAAAAGTCTTCGCGATCGATCTCGGAGCGATTGCATTCCTCTACCTTGTCCATCCGACTGGTCCTTCGCCCCATTGTCTCGAGCTTCATGAAATCCGTGCCTCGAGGGCGCTGCTCCCTCCGCACCCTCGCAATAAATAGAAGAGTTAATCAAAAGCGTCGCCAATTCCCTGTGCTTGATCATCCGCCGCTACCGCCTCTGCAGACGACAGGACGCCCGTTAGCGCATTAATGCGCAGCTCTCCCTTTGCTCCCTATTATCTGAGTCAGCAGACTCTGACAGATGTGTTGCATTGTGATCGACTGTGAGTTCAGCATCTGCTGCTACTTTTCACTCCACACAATCCATCAAGAGGAAGATCTCTAGGATGAAGTCCTCGTCCGTAGTGTGCACACTCTGCAGCAGGATCGCCACGGTCGACACAAGCCTTAATGCTTCAGCAACAGAGACTTTATCTTCGAACCCCACAGTGGCGGTTGAGCCCGCAGTCCATGCCTGAATCTCGCAGATCTAGATCTATATTTAGAATACATGACACAATACAACAATCTCCACCTTGTCTTATGTTCTATATAAATTTGTTCAATGTAGCAATTCCTCAAAGTATTCCCCTACTCACCGCAATGGGCATCAACAAGTTACAACACTAATCAAGTCCAAGCAAAACTTGAACTTCTCACCAGGGACAGACTTCGTCAACATGTCTGCAGCATTCTCTCGTGTATCAACCTTCTGCAAGGAAACTTCTCCTTTAGAAATATTGTCCCGAATGTAGTGGTACCTCACGTCACTATGCTTTGTCCTAGAGTGGAACACTTGGTTCTTCGCCAAGTGAATTACACTCTGACTATCACAATGTATCTTGGTGATCTGCACCAGTCCAAACTCACTAACAAGTCTTCTCAACCACAAAGCTTCCTTTGCTGCTTCTGCAGCTGCCATATACTCTGCCTCTGTGGTAGAAAGAGCTATACTAGACTGCAATGTGGATTTCCAACTCACAGGAGCACCAGCAAGCAAAAATACATGACCTGTAGTGGATCTTCTTTTATCAAGTTCTCTTGCATAATCTGCATCTACGAAATCTGTGATCTGGTCCTTTCTCTCATCATTCATGTCAAAGACAATACCGACATCCATACTTCCCTTCAAATAGCAAAGTATCCATTTCACAGATTGCCAATGTTCCTTTCCTGGATTTGCCATGCTAACCACACTAATAGCAAACGATATGTCTGGTCTAGTACAAACCATCGCATACGTCATGCTTCCAACTGCACTGGAGTGGTAGACATATACTCCCTCTCCTTTTCTGTCGCAAGACAATGGGCTTCTAAGAGTCGAAAATGTGCTGTAAGAGGAGTACTCACAGGTTTGGCATTCTCCATTCCAAAACTGGCCAAAAGCTTTTTAATGTAGTTCCTCTGACACAGCTAGTCTACCTTTGGTTTTTTTCCTGATGATATCCTCACCCAATACTCTCTTTGCGGGGCCCAAATTCTTCATGTCAAACTCCTTACTAAGTTGGATTTTGAGGTTGTTACTTTGTGCCATCCTCTCCGCAGGAATTAACGTATCATCAACATACAACACCAAGATTACATATTGGAATGTGGTACCTTTCTCCAAACTTGAAGTACACGAAACTGTCGTATTTGCTCCTGGTGTAACTTTTCCCAATCATGAAGGTATCAAATCGTTTGTACCACTGTCTTGGAGCTTGCTTCAAGCCATACATAGATTTCTGCTACCTGCACACATAGTCCTTTCCCTGCACCTTGAACCCTTCTGCTTCTTGCATGTAGATTTTTTCCTCCAGCGGCGGTTGAGCCCGCAGTCCATGCCTGAATCTTGCAAATCTAGATCCTGATCCAGAATACATGACACAATACCACACTTACTGTCAAGCAACAGGTATGTCAAGATTGCAAGCCTCAGGTGTGGACGACAAAATTGTTCCATGTGATGAAACTTCCAACGTAAAAGCATGACCTTATCGATAAATGCTAGGTTTTACTATAGTTATTAAACCAAATATTTAATATCAACCTGCTTCTAGCGGGGACCTAGGTATTGCCAGCGTCCTTAAGAGGTATGGAGATGTCTCTGATGGAATGGGTAATGAAGTAACATGTGCCTTCTGCGAGATGGCCGTCATATTAGAGTAACCTTGTGACATCTCAGCACTGAGTATGTTTTAGTTTGATGCAGCTGTGTGAACGTCTGCAGAGTCCAAATGGAGAATCTATGGTGGATTGCAATGGTTTATAATCAATGCCGGATGTTGGCTTCACCATTGCAAACAAGCAATTCAAGCTTACTCATTTTAGAGAAGAATTTGTGGTGGACATATTTAGTAAGAAATTTCAGACCAAATTTGTCCTGCAGAAGATTCTCCATATAACGATTCTTGTTTAGAAATTGGCTAGTGTTTGAGTATTCTATCTTCCTGAGATGATTTTTGAGGATAATATGTTTGTGATTTGGTTTTAGAAACAAGCGACTGGGATTTGCGTTAGTTGCCTAGATGGAATGCTTATATTTTCAGGTAATAGATTCATGTGTACATCAGGCTGTTGCAAACATCTAGTTCCCAAAGCTCTCGTTAGACTCTCAATTGGACCTTTGCTTAGCGCTTCTACAATCTGTAACGGCTGTGTTCTATGAAAATAGTGACTTCGGTCTTTTGTAATTGAAACGATCTGACATCTGCATCATTCAAGATGATTGCTCTCTACTGAAGTTCCAGCGAAAAAATTACACATTTAGTGTTGCATTCAATTGTAACTATCACCACAAAACGAAGAAACACCTCGATTAGCGCTCCCAATATGTAACTGAGGCAGAAGTGGTCTAATAAGATATGGTATGATGCACTTTCTAAAATACTTCGATAGCTGACTTGTCTTTCTTTTTATACGTGTTGATCTCGTTAATACCTCATGGTCTGGATGTAAATGTGTCGGTAATAATAACGTTATTACTAATCTTTCTTAAACATTGAAGGTCTTCTAAAATTGTTAATAAGTGCATAACTTGCACTTAAAACTTGATTTGTTACTTCATTTGATTGAGGGAGGGGGGTTGAAGGAGGGATGTTTTTGAAATGGAAAACCTCAAGTATGGCGAACATAAGATAGTGACTAAAATAATCATTTGAACGCTGTTTTAAATTTTCTGAAATTCTAAGTAAAGAATCAACGTGACATGTTTTTTACGAAATGATTTGATTGAAAAGATTTCTTTTTATCTTCTTGATTTGAATCTGTGCAACACAAAAATTCAACAAACAATCAAGTAGAAGATGGAACGAAAATTCAACTGGAGACACCAGAGCAGATCTGTCAATTGACCACAAACTGCAGCAATTAGTGGACCAGCATATAACATTGCAGAAGAATTCCTTTGGCTTGTTTCAAAGTGGACCTGCATGAGGCTGTTTCTCTTCTGTGAGAAGTGAAATCTGTGAGGTCTCATGAGATCCCTGACCATTTCGAGTGTTTTTTTTACAGTCCCGAGCACATGGCTCTTGTTACACCACTTGTACTGAACTGGCAGGGACTCAAGTCAGCTGGGCCATCGCCCAAGCTCCTTACGCTCCTCGAGCAGCTGGTGCATCGTGCACAGGGCATCACACTTCGGGGAGCAGCAGTCGGTGCTTCGGCCTTCGAGCTCGGGTACTGGAAAAAAGGCCTTCTCTGGCAGGCCCAAGATTGTTGAAGGAGTGGAATTCCAGAGAAAGTGAAAGGCAGGCCCTGTTGTGCAGAGTTATGAATGAGAGAGCCCAGAGCGTTAGTACCACACATGCAGGCATATGCTTCTTAACCCTGCAGCTGCATCAACAAGGGAGACTTAAAGAGCAGTCAGGGCTGCCTTGATGCTGCCTTGAAGCCCTCCATCATCTGCCCTGCCGAGCTGGTGATTGATGCTGGAGCTGCAGCTGATTACTCCTCCTGCATCTCGGATTCTATTTCTGCTTTGAAACCCATTTGTGGGGCCCTTGAAGCATCCAATCCAGCATCCCTGTTGTGGGTTCCTTTCAAACCATCAAGGCAATTGTATTCTCCCTTTTGCTAAGCTTTAGTTGTAGTGTATGTGTATGAACATGTGGATACACACACATGTATGTGCACGTGTGGACTTTGACAGGATGCCCCATCGTCTTGTGTCTTGTAAATGTATGTCTTCTGTGTTCAACCATCTATACAAGAGATGTCTGGGCAAAAAACGGGACTAACAAAAAAACAAAATACAAAACAAAAAAACAAAATACAAAACAAAAAAAAAAACATAAAAAAAACAAACAAAGGTTCAAACACACACACACACACAGGGAGTGAGAATAATAATAATAATAATAATAACTCTCTACTCTCATCACATGGACTTAGGGATTGTCGTGTCTTGATTGAGAGTCAGGAAGGAAAGAGGTTGATTGTGTTACTTATCCTTCGAAATGTAAATATAAATGCAAGTTTTCTTTTAGAATATCGTTATGTCCTACTCATTCACTACATATCACATACTGTTCAACTATTTATTGGTTACAGCTATTTAATAAGAAAAAATCATTCAATTTTTCATTAAGAAAGGATGAATAGAAGAATGAGATTATTCATTTTTAGAAAGTACACTTTCGTACTTAAGGAAAAAAAATGTATATATATATATATATATCTATATACTTACATAGTACTTCAACAAAGATTTCCAAAATAAGGCTACAACAATCTTGTTTAATCTTGTATAATATACCACATCATTTCACTTGTACTTTTAAAAAACCAAATCTCAATAGAAGTGTTTCAAACATGATACATATGTCTTACAAACTACATACAGTAAACTACGAGTCAACATCTTTGGAACATTTTAGTGTTACCAAGGAAACAAATTGCTAGCATTGGAAGTTTGGTTAATTATTTATTTTATTAATCCTAATTTATTGTACAAAAAATGAGTACAACATGAATAAAATTTATGAATAAAAGAAAGCTAAAGACAAATATTCCTAATGCTACATTTGTAACACGTGTTTAAGAAAAAAAAAATACAATCTGCAATTTACACAATAGACATACTAAAATATAACAAAGTATTGTATTTTTCACAAAATATTTGTCTCTCTTTCTCTCTCTCTCTCTCTCTCTCTCTCTCTCTATATATATATATATATATAACACGTGTGAAAATTATATCATATTATAATTAAAAGTTGAATTTTTTATTCCAAGAAAACAGCTCACAAATATAATTTTTGTAATTTGTTTTTTGAAATATACTTTTCTGCTTTTGGTGCTCTTCAAAACATCATTTCTTACCCTTTTATGACTTATCAAGTCACATTCAAGCAAATAATGTCACAGAATTGTGAATGCTAGCAAAATATTTCAAAGAACAGCTTTGTTATTTTATCCATACTTATGTAAACCACTGAGATGAGTTTATTTATGAAAATGAACATTTTTTTTCATGTGGTGCCTTCAAAAAGAATCTGATTTTTAAAATCTTATAAAAAAAATTAAAAATAGCACATGAAAAGTAAAGAAACTTCTTATGTAATAGTATCTTTTAGCAAGACCATAAGACCAGATTTATTTATTTTTCGATAATATTTATTGTAAATATGAAAAAATATATAATTAACATATAAAAAACTATGCTTGAGACCATTTGTGGATTCATTTGTACATCTTCTTGAGTTGTACTCTTCTCATTAGTTTTTTCTTTTTTTTGTCTCAACGTTATGCAATTATTTATTAAATTAAAATCTTATTTTGTACAAGAATTTTATGATTATTTTTATTAGTTAGAGTGTAATTTGTATAATTGTTGAACCTCTTACATTGTACCTTCCACCATGGTCTTATTCTTCTTTAAATTTTAAAAATTCAATAATAGTTAAAGATTATTAATAATAAAATACATGATCAAATGATGTCTTTTTATTCCTTAAATGGTTTACATAATTCAATTATTTAATGACTTGAATATACATCAATATAAAACACAACAAAAATCAACAAGTAGATTTCTTAGTGATCTCCTAATCAACTTTTATATCTTTTGTGTGTTCTTTTCTTCTAGTGCAATCTAATTTTGAGGAACTTAATATAAGATTAGTAGAAACCCATGCTATTGGTCACAAAAAAGTAATAATATTTATCCAATAGTAATCAAAAGCTGAGTTATTGCTTTAATCAATAGTTAAAACAATAAGATATGCTGCCAATCATAGATTATTTTTGTCTCCTCTAGTTTATCCTGTTGGTTTATCCCATGAATTTTTATATATAAGAGATATGAAAATATAAACCACTATAAAATAAACATATAATTGTTGTATTGAAATTACTTGTTGCAACAATATTGCTTAAAACTCTACTCTTTGATGTGAGTTTTGCTTTTGCTAAATAAATCACATACTATTTTCAAGTGTACGAATTTTTTTTTATTTATTTATTTGTTTCCCCCAGTATTCCATGTATAGATTTGGGGCTGTCGATGTCAAAGACTTTATTATGCAAAATTCAAGCTTGAGCCACAAAAGTGGGGCAGAGTGTTTCCTCTTCAGGAGCAACTGGAATGATGGATGAATGAATTATAGTTAATGATAAATAGCCAATCGCGAGGTCAGTGTAGGATGAAAGCTTCTGTTCGTTAGATTGAGGAGATCGACCAGCATCAGCAGGCTGGGAACGTGGGACGGTGACAACAAGCGAGCAGAGAATTTACGAGAGAGGGCTTTGGTTCCCCTGTTCCCAAGTGCGCAGAATCCTGCTCTCGTATGAGAGAGCATGGGGTTCACAAAGTGGGCACGCAATGGGAACTCTTGGTCCACGGTAGAGGGAGAGCGCGGCTATAGGGGTCGGCGTGTGTGAGTGTGTGTGTCCACATGCTTGTTGCCTGCCCCACCCACCCCACCAAAGCATGCTCAGTGCTGCCTTCATGACCCCAGAGTGAGTCCTCTTTATAGCTAATTAATTAGTTAATTAATTATCTATATATATGTATATATATAAATACTGAAGTTAAGGAAATAGCTACAACGTATTCCATGTATTAGATAACTGTGTATAAATTCTATAAATTAAGCCTGAGTTTCAAGTGCAGTGTTTAATGTTCATTAGTTGCTTTTTTGTCTGCCAAGCTTCCAAGTTTACTTAATTCAGTAATATATACAAGTGGCTATTTTCTTAGTATGTAAATTCTTTAAGTCGACATTGTCGATACAGGGTGATGCATTGATACTCGACAAACATAGCTCGAAATTGCAAAAAACAGAAGAAGTATGTAAAGCTTGTGGTGCAAGTAGTGATAAAAAGAATAAAAGTTACGAAATAACCAAATAACAATGAGGAGAATCAAAGTATGTTTTTCGATCAGCGTGGATACATGAAAGGTTGACACCAGGAAATACAGGCAATACGAATTATTCCAGTAACATCATCTGCACAACGGAACCAGAAAGCTTCCATCAGCGTAAATTTCTTCCCCCAAAGAGACACAAGTACCCACATCCTACTTATGATCGGATCAGCGGGAAGAATCATACGAAGATACATCATCATCGAAACTCATTTCATGAACATGTCTACATCCCAAATCACGAAAAAACACTACATAAACACCAAAATCATACACAAAGAAAGAAAGAAAAGAAAAAACTAATCGAAGAGGAAGACTCAGAATCTCAGTTGAAACACGACAAGTTGGAAATTCTACATGCTCGGAGCTTCACAGGATTGTTGCATTTGTTGCAACAAAAACTCAAATATCTCTCCACACAGAAAACGCAACAATCCGTGCGCCGAGAAGGGGCTCGCAAGAGCCTGCAGGATTTTTCACTACCTCAACGGTGCCAAAGGTGGCAGTTTTGGCCATGTTCATGGGGGAGGGGAGGTGTCGGCGCAGGCATGGCGTCCCTGGGGAAGCATTAGCAAGGCCCTCCTCCTTCTTCTCCTCCGCATTCAAAGCAGGAGGGTGATTCTTGCATCCGAAAGGGCGTTCACTAGGGAAGGCCAAGCACAGCATCACTGCGGCTCGCAGCATCATCATCCTCATCTTGTTGTTGTTGTTTTTGTGATGTTTCGTCACCATGTAATGTGCCTCTTTGGGTTGCAGCGAGTTGGGTCTAGCGCTGGAAAGCCATTGTGCACTTGGGGTTGACATCTTGCGAGGCTGAGGACCCTGATTCCTAGAGTCCAGAGCTGGTTCCAAGACGAGGGATGGCTTTGTGGACAATGAGGGCGCAGTCTTACGATGTGCATCATGTGAGATACGTGCAGCTATTGTTGCGGTTAGCCGAGCTGTACGTTGCAGGGAGTTGCTCTTTTTGCATGGGGTGTAGAGTTAGGCGGGTGTATTAGCCCTCTTCCCCCCTCCTCCCCCTCAGGCTGATGATGTAGAGAAAACTCTTGGATTCAATTAGCACTTGGAGGCAGCCGGTGCAGGTGGGAGTGTGGAGTTAAAAGAAGCTTAGGAGTGCTAGGGTGCAGTGTGATGTGTAGTTCATAAAACCTTTCTGGGGCGTTTGAGTGCTCATTTCACTAACGTCATTTTTGTAGACTCACCAGCCGTCACTCAATGTTTTCTTGAGGTGAAAATCGCCTACTCGACAAGGCATGGTGTGTTACTATCCAACCACAACAAAGTCAGGATCCTTTCCCTTGCACTGTGCGGTGGTGTCTTCGAGTGCACTCATTCTATTGGACCGATATAGAAGAAGAGCATCCTCGTTTCCGGCTGTTTCCAGGAAATGAGAGCACAGTTTATTTTTTCTTTATTTATTCTTTGGTTCTGTTGGAATTAGAGCGAAGTCTGATGTCAGGTCACGAGAATCGAAACACTCTGCACTACCAATAGATGCAGGATTGTTACTGTAGCCAGATGGTTCTCCCGCGTCTGGACTCCGCATTCAATTTGTACTAAGGCATCTGTAGCTTTAGGCACTTAAGTTGCGTACACAATGCGAAATCATGGATGGGAGCTGCCGTATCATCCTCTCCAGGTTCGTCTTTCAACTTCTGCTCAATCTTCACATCCACATTTGTGGCTACATGAATCGTGATTACCTGCACTGTGTTGTGTTCAGTTAGGAGGGAAAATAAAATAAAATAAAAGAAGAAAAAACAACGGGCACTTGCATGCAAGGCAGGAGGCTGCAGAAACTATTGAACTTATGCCACATCTTTGGTCAGCACTAAACATGGATTCACATTGAGGTCTGCAATTGAATCCATGATAATCGAAGTATCTATTGAAATCGAAGTAGATTTACGTGTGTATCGTGTGCAGCGATTTAAAACCTTAAGCCCACAACTTCCTGTTAGTTAATTACATGTACTAGGAAAAGGAGAAGATACTTATCTCTGGGCGGTAATAGACATGAGGAACGTAGGCTACTTGGAAAATGAAGTCTATAAAAGAATTTCCTCAGAAACCTTTAATGGAAAACCTTCACTCACTGCCTCACCAAAATTAGTCTAGAGTAGTGATTCTTTCGAATTTCTCCGAGTAAGCTTGAGTTGAATCAATCCAGAAAAGTCTTACAAAGGCATGACTGCTAATTGGAATCTACCTTGAGAATGATTAATTAGCAAGGATCTTTAAGAAAATTGGTTTTTTGTTGCTCCAGTGAAATGTACATGAGGTAAGAGATACCCAATTGGTCTGCTTCTTTCTGACTTGAGCTGTGGGGTATAATTTATTGCTATATTTTGTGAAGAAGAGATCAAATTCTTCTGAAATGCTGTTTACGTTGTCTGTATGAGAATGTTTCTTCTTCACTACCTTAAGCAGGGGTGATTTTATGAAAGCTGTAATATTATTTCGTTGTGCAGTATTAACACTTCCACTTGACTTTCTTATGCATCAAACAGACCGTGGCAGTAGCAGTCTTTTCAGGACTCTCCCTTTCCTTCTACGTATTTTTCATTCCTTTCGTTGGAAGCAGTGTAATGAAGTTTCACGTATACGCGGCCTTCTCGCCGGTGGTGAGTGATACTGTGTCTCTGAATTGATCAGGCTTTGTGCCAATTTCGAAACCATATGAGACTATTCGGCCAAACCCACTCATTCATAATTCACCAGAATTGGGGTTGCTGGTACTGATGGGTTAAGTTGAATAGTTTGCGCGACCAGCGCATTTCAAATTTGCACTGACAAACTCTCGTGGTACGTTCTCAGAATTCATATTAATTCAATTCTACTTTATGCAGGTCTTAGCAGTCTTTATTCTGTATGTGAGATGCGCTGGTTGTGATCCAGCTGATCCAGGAGTGCACCTGTCAAAACAAGCTGCGAAGGCCAACCATCGGACAGCGCTGATGGCTATCAAATTATCGCAATCAAATGTTGAAACTTGCTTAGAACATTCACACGATGAGTCTGAAACAAATACATCACCCTATAAAACTTTGACGATTGAAGCTTCGGGTCAAAAAGTATGTGCTCGTTGGCTTTGTGTACCGTTGGCCTGCTGTAAAAGGGACGATCCGGCAAAGCTGAATGTGGGAGAACAGTTGCTATATTGCAGCATATGTGAAGCTAAGGTATGGCTCATGTTTTGAGCCTCGTACATTTTAATTTTTGACATTTGAAAAAAATTCCCTTCAACCGAATAAACTTATGAAAGCAGACGTGCATCGTTATCCGATTTCTTCGTTTTGAACTTTCATTGCTGTGCAAATCGGAACTCCCATGATAACACCCAATGTTTCCAAATCGTAACTCTTCCGGATGATCGACAGATATCAAAGAACAGCAAGCACTGCAGGGCTTGTGACAAGTTCAGTCAAGTGGATTCGTTGTGCGTTTATGAGTTCGACCACCACTGCCGGGTATTTCCGCAACCAATTTCCATCATGTGCTCATCTTTTTGATTATTTTATAAATTCTTGCAACAGGGTCTGTTGTCGTTATGTTGAATGCTACTTGACAGTCCATGGAGGTTAAGTATCTAATGACTTTGAACTGTCATCGCAGTGGCTCAATAATTGCGTAGGGAGGAGGAACTACAGGACGGTCGTGAGCCTCATGGTGGCTTGTCTATTGCTGGTGCATGAAGTGATTCCGAGATTACAGAGTTAGATTGTGAGGAGTTGCTCACCATAGAATCATGACAATAACGAGGCTCTTGTCATGAGCTCAGTAGCATATCTTTTTACGAGACTATTGCTTCCATAGAGTTTGTCTATTGCGACCGATGCTGAACCGAAGACATCCTTGTCTTTTAATTCTTTAACGGGAAGTTACATTACAGTGCTTTGACGCTTCGATGTTGCAGCTAGTAATCGTGTGGACCACTAGAATTGGTGTTCTTGTTCGCTGCTTTGCACAGAAGACAAGTTTTAATAAGGAGATAATTCGCAGACTCGGAAGTAGCTTCTCTCGGGTGTCTTACATAATTGTTGTGGTATGTGTTATTAATTTTTATATATTTATTTTCTGCTTCATCTCTGTCATTATTGTAGTAACCTTGCCAACCTGAAGGATCTGAGAGGTGTCATAACCTTCAATTGACATTGATACATTTCTCTTGATTGATACACTCTAAGCTTGGTACATTCACAAATAAACTATATCTGAATGATCTCAAAGATGTGATGTAGTTTACCTCTTCAGTCTCAAATTCCTTTCTGGAATTGACTGATCGCCAGTCCTGGACAGATAGTTTCGTGTTGCAGCACACGAGTTTTAAGGAACCTACCCGTGTAAGTTGGATATTCAGGTGTTGCTCTCCGTCCTGGCCATGTTAGGAACGATCCCCTTGGGTCAGTTATTCTTCTTCCACCTCATTCTGATACATAAGGTGAGTGCTAGAACTGACTCTCTCGATGAGCTTGGGATAACATTGAATCAAACTAAACACTCTCACCGATTAGACCTTCGTCTCTACGACCTGGAGTAACTGGTCCAATTCAGCAATTCTACTTAACCTTTCCACCACTTGAATGCACCCTGTAAACGTTGACCTATTGTGGAAAAATTCAACAGGGTATTACAACGTATGATTACATTCTGGCAGTAAGAGAACAAGGCATAGAACAGGAGATCGCAGAGGGTGATGGATTTAACAGTTTAACTTCATCACCTGCAAGTTCCAACGCCACAGGAATTAGTGGATACAGCTCAAGTGGGGCTCTGGCTCTGCACAAGGGTGTCTTTTGTATAACACCTCGCATGTTTGTTGAACATCAGCAGGTGCGAATACAAAACGTTCCGTTTTGACATTGTGCGAAAATGGTTGTTTCAGCTCAGAAATCAGACCAACTTGCGCAGAGCTATATACAACTTCTTTTTATTTCGTATCATAACAAATCGCGCATACGGATCTGCCTGCTTACTTTAAACTGCCACTTGGGTTTTGCAACAGATGGTTTTGCCCGTCGGCGAGGACATGAAGTCTTCTGGTGCAAAAATCGCAGTGAATCGCACCGGAAAGTCAGCTCCGCGGTTTAATAGAAAGAAGTCGGTTGGGATTAACCCTTGGAAACTGGCACGAATGAATGAGGAAGCTGCTAAGGCTGCAGCTCAAGCCAGGGAAAATTCGACTATCACACGGCCCATCATACACTCGAAGGATTCTTCCCAAGTTACAGAGACAGAAGACAGCAATCTTGAGGGTTCTCGTAATGTGAGCGGCGAGATCACCGTTGCCGGAAACAACCGGAACCGCAGAAAGCACCATGATTTGGCTCATCTCACAGGGAAAGAGAGGTGGTTGTTGATGAAAGACCAGCGTAACAAGAATGTGATTTTACACAGTAAACCAGGGATTCTCGCAGCAACCAACACATCCATTGGCAGCCCTCAATCCTCGATATTCCCTCTGCCGTTGGAGGCACGCAATGGCTTCCGGTGTAGTCCCAGCAGATTCAAGCCTCGAACAAGCTCAACCCCAAGAAGCTATGGTTCCCGAGGATCTAGAAGTTCTGGAAGAGACAGCACTGGAGGTGAGTTCGATGTGTTTATTCTTTTCATTCAAGTCTGTGATTCAACACTAAACTTGTTTCGCATAAATGATAATTGTTGAATTTCTCTGAACAGACCAAGCTATAGTACACAATCTCTGTCTTTATCATCAAAACGTTTGCCTTTCTCATGAATTTCGTAAATGAAAAAATCTTGCTAGGCTTTGAGTTTGGCTTACCTTGATTCTTTTCTGATAATTGCAATCTAGTTGCATGTGAACACAGGAAGTTCGGGATCTAGAGAAGAAGCCAATATCCTCAAACACGTGAGAAAAGAATGGCCAGAACTAAGAGACAGGCTATCGCTCTCTCCCGACGACAGTGGTGCCTACTTTACTTCACCCTTCGATTGCCATCGTCTCGACTCGCTGGAACCAAAACAGCCAAGAGCGATAAATGTCTGCACCTCAGCGTCTTCTCTGATGACTGATGAACTTGTTCCAACAACCAATAGGCTCAAGGATAGCTTGATCATGGGAAAAAAAAGTACTAAGCTTCGGGGTGAATTGTCTGAGCCTATTGCTTGGGATGCAAGATATTGCTAATTTGCAGTCTTGCAATTCAAGGAGTTTGGATCCAGCGCCTGCAGTCTGGCTCCACATCAGAAGATTTCATCACAAGCATTTCCTAGAGAGAATGAAGATTATCAAACTTCGTGACTATCAAAAGCCAACTACCGTTAGCTAAAGGATCGATGGGTTATGTGAAACAGGACTGAAGAATATCAATGTTAAATCAATGCATGATAAATTAAATAATATGTAACTGCGACACCCATTTGTTGACATACGCTTTGTTTAGCATGACGTTTCGGTCGATTTTGCAGCTTAAAACTGTAGACATCGTGATGCTACCATTGAAAACTGGCATGGAAACTAGTACTGCAGAATTTTGAAGTCTTGCGTGACATGTGCCCAAACCAGAGTCATCTCAAATTACGAGCATTAGCCACACTACCGTAATCTCCAATATGGCTTTATTTCTAGAAATTTCCAGGGCTGTCAGCTATCGATCTGTACAAAATGCACTAAACAGTTATGTATCTGCTCATCCAGAGTGCACTTAGAGAGCTCGTCTAATGTCAAATCAAATGGGTACCATAGTTGAATGTTACAGAAGAAAGGTTATTCAATGCTTTGCTTAACTCTGTGATCAGAATCTTGACCTGTACAGGCCCGCTACAAAGAAGCTCGCTTTAAGCTATCCACATATCTATACAAGTATTACATAAAACGGTACTGTGCACAGGTCTCTTGCAATGAAAATCTCCTAAGTTGTCCTACTGTTCATTGCAGGCAATCCATCTAGATAAGAGTCATGAATCACTTGAGGCTTGAAGTCATGCTGTACATATTCCCGGAAGAAATCTGCATACATGTCAATCCGGGAAGTCATTCTAAACCCCCACTTATCCTTCAATTGCTGGCATAAATTCAGGTCAAGCTTTGCCACCAGCAAACCATCCCGGCACCGAGACAAACTTGGGCTGCACGATGCATCTGGAGCGGCAACGAAACTTGAGCCATAAAAGTGACCGAAGTCCTTGTGAGCCGGTTTCCCATCGCCTGAAGTGAACTCGTTGGGAAAAACCTCCGTTCCAACACGATTAATGGCTCCTACGAAGTAACTATTGGCAATGGCGGCATTTCGCGCCTGCAAATCAAGCAACCGAGGTGGGAATAAAAGCATTCAGCAAACTGCGTCAATGTCCTTGAACACGAATGAAGAAGACTGATTCTCAAAACCAAGATTTTTTTGACGTACCTCAATTGGCCACATGGGCTCGCTAAGATCACCAACAGTTGCAGATGGATTAAATACGATTTCGGCTCCGTTCATGCCGAACGCTTGCCAGTTCATGGGATGGTGTCTTCCGTAGCATATGTTCACAGCAATCTTTCCGAATTCGGTTTCGAAAACAGGGTGCCCAGTATTGCCTTCCATGTAATAGGTACTCTCGTTAAAGTCTCCTACTCGTGGAATGTGGTTCTGGCACAACAGCCACATTTCGTATGAATTTCAGCAATGCATTTCCAATGACAGCAAGCATTAATCATAAACTTGATTGAACTAGAAATAAAAAAGCTGATACATAAAATACTGTCCCAAAGCATGTGCTTGATACTATTTTCCCAGAAACAATGGTGGATTAGAGAGTGACAGTCTTGAAAGAGTGCTGTTGCTGCTAACCTTTCGGTGCTTTCCAATGACATTTCCATGGTTGCCAATTACTACAGCAGTGTTCCAGATGGTGCTCCCATGGGACTCGTCCCGCTCTAAGATTGGGCTCACAATCACCATATTATACCTCTGCGCGAGTCCTTGCAGGAGTTTTGTTGATTCCCCTGCTTCAGCACTCTCAGCAAATTCGCACCATCGCTTCTCACGCGTACAAAAACCGAAGGGCATTGTCCAGGCTTCCTGTTACAAAAGACAAGCAGTTTGAGAATCATGAATGGAGCAGTCGAACACATGAGACAATCAAGAGTATTAATGATCATTCCAAGACGAAAGAAGATGTTCATGGATTCGCAAGTTATGTCGCATCTCCAGCATTCGATCAGTACTTTTCCTTGCATGACAGGTCGGAAGCTTTGCAAAGAGCAGGGAGCTACCTGTAGACAGAGAATGTTGACGCCAGCCTTGGCAGCAGATTCGATGAGAGAGGTGACTCGTTCCATGATAGCATGTTTCTGCTTCAAGAAGGGTTCGGTCGTAGGTAGTACTATTGCATTCTGGATCAAGCCCACGCAAACGTTCCGTGGAGCCCGCATCTGCTCCAGATCCGCCGTGAACTCGAATGTCTGAACACCGCCAACTCATGAGCTGAATTCTAATTTCGAAATGAAGCCTATCCAAACACACAAACTCTCTTGCAATCTACTTTCACAAGCAAGCACCAACCGCAGCACAACTAAGAAAATCTGATGCATATACAAGACATACCTGCACATCGAAATTCCCTTCCTTCGCTGCAGCACTAAGGTCCTCCGTCTGTGGGACAGGAGTGACAGCACTACCTCTGTTGCACCCGTACAATACGCGACTCACCTCCTGCCATAAACAAGGAATTCTAACTAAAAATTACCCTCGAAATCGCAAGGTTCAACTCCGCCACTACCAAATTGATGCACACCACGACCGAGGCTCTTCACACGAAACCCACAAAACTAACTCCAAAGAACAAACAACGCAGGACAACAAAATGCATCATTATCAAGAATTGAGATGCCGAATTCCACAAAAGAAAGAAGGGTCTTAACGTTGGAACCGGCACCCCACAAAGCGAGATCCCCATGAGCATGTACAATTCAGAGCCCGATTACGAGACGAAAGCAGTGTAAGTGTAAGAGCTCACTTGGAAGAGATGCGGTGGAAGCTCCGAGGACAACAAGCGATGGAGCGATTCGTAGCCATGGAGGGACCCGTCCTTAGTAGCACTTGCGGGCTCGTTCTCCATGTCGCAGCGAGATCTTCCTGTCCGCAGCAGATTCCCCAATCGAAGCGGCGATCGCAAAAATGGATCACGAGGCAGGCGATGCATTTGGCCCGCGCTTCGATTTGCTCTCCACAAATACTCGCGCAAAGTGCCGTGGACGTCGCGCTCCGGATAAAGCTTCCGGGTACTTTAAAGCTTGGCCCCATCTGCGCGCACTAGCTAAAGTGATATGGACACTTTATAAGTGACAACAAACACATTTTAAGTTTTTTGAACGGATTGTGTACCTCCGCATTATGTGTTGTAGAAGGCTTTCTGAAAGATTTGAAATTTAAAGAATACATTTCTTGAGCTTAAAATGTTTTTGAATACTTTTTCTATTCTACTCAAATAATATCGATCCATATTGTAACCAACTTTGTATATGGTTCATGTTTACAATATTTTTAGTTTTATATATTTATTATCTTTTAATATAAATATATGATTGAGAATTTTTCATGAACCTTTTTATTTCAGTTTTTTTGGCATGAAAGAAAACATGAATATAATGACAAAGCATTTTCATGGTCAGTTTATAACTATTGGTTAGTAATAATTTTTTCTATACTTGACATGAAAAAGACTAATACTTGAACTTCAGGTTTCAAAACACAATACCTATTCATATTTCTAATTATTATTATTATTATTATTATTTTCTATCACTTATACTTGATATTTATCGAATCTGAATTTTATTATATAATTGATTTTATTCATGTCATTCATTGTCAAAGATGTGTCTCTTATATAAAACACATCAGGGAGATAAATTAAAGGAGACAAATTTGATCTTTGATTGGCTGCATCTCTCATTGTTTTCTTCAAAAGTGAAGCAAAAGCTAAGTTATGTAACAATTCACAATGCCTTAATAGAACAAGGTTTATAGATTCACAAGACCTTAATAGCACATATGATTCACTTCTACCTCAAAAAAACATATCACATTGGCATTTGACTCAATTATCATTATTTTAATCAAAAGTTTTGATAAAAACAATGAAGCAAAAGTTTTCATTGATAACATGATTGAGTGATGCAACATGTATTTTCAAGAGATTCTTGATTTATATTTGATATCAAGTTCATCTTTTTCATGTTTCTGATTTGTAAATCAATGTTAGCTAATCTATGTTGAATAAAGAGATACTAAAATCCCAAGAACTAAACTTAAAAAACAAAGTTGATCATCCAAGAATCAAAGGTTTTGAGATTGTTTGCTAATAAGTGACAATTGTGTCTTTAAGTAATTACATCAAAAGAGCATAGAGACCTTTCATACTCTCTAGTGGTTTAAGAGGTTATGGAGTTTGTAGAGATTGACATCTAGCATTCATAGTTGAGGAATCATGACCTTTGGATCTTACCTCACAAATAGACATATGGCAATTGATTGTCAAAAGGATTGGTGCAAGAGCAGTTTGTGAATGCAAATGAGTTTGACTTTAATTAGATTCATGGAAAGTAGAAGAGAGAATTGGCTTCAATAAATAAAAATAAATAACAAGTATCAGATCTATCATTGAGACTTTGTTGGCATGTATGTTGATAAGGCAGTCTAAGTAGTACATGATAATTCTAAGACCAATTTTATATAAGTATCTCATATACCATGCCCTATGTTTGTTGTATTCTTAAGACTACAATCTATATTAATATCTTTCATGGCAAGTGACTAACTAGGCAGTTGTTATTTTAGTGCATAGAAAATAATTTTGGTAAGATTTACCTTCTTAAACTGAGTAGAATCTATGGTAGAATATTTGCATATTTTCCATGATAATGGCACGGGTTCAACTAATATATATATATATATATATATAATGTCATATTTTATGAAGTACTTGTATCTCATGTTTATGTCTATTATAATATTAAATAGCTTTTGTAATATTATTACTAATAATAAATAAATAAATATATATATATATATATATATATATATATCTTGATTGCAAAAACTTATTATAATTTTGTATATTTTTTGTTGTTTTGTAGTGCATAAGAATTCAAAAAAATAAAGTAATTCATTAATAATCATGTTCCATAATAGTATGCTATTACAAGAAATAAGACAAAAATATTTTGTAACATTATTGTTTATAAAGAATAATAAACAAAAGAAATAGAGAAATATAATGTAACAAATTAATTTAAACATAAAAAAAACTAAGATTATTTAGATCTACTTATCAACTAGTTAAAAGAACAACCTTATTTTATAAAACAAAAACTCTAATATCCAACTCTTTTTAAGAAATTTTTTTGTTTAACATGTTGGTATAAAAATTTATAAAGATATTTCATAGGAATCAATTTTTGAATAACAAAATAAAATAAAGATACAAAATTTATCTTAATAAAAAATAAATATCTTGATTGGATTCAATAGTTAACTATATTGGTATTATTTGCTAGCTATTAGCATAATAATGAAGTATAAAAGATATTTTGTTATCTATTATAGATTTATAAATTTCAATATTCATACTTTACAAATACATAGCATTCTTCTATAACAATAATAATAAATATTTATAATTCTATTAAATTATTTAAAAATAAAATTTAGTAAAATTTAAAGAAGATGTTATTGTAAGAGCTTAAAATTCATGCAAGTGTACTAGATGGCTTCAAAAAAAACTAAAAACTAAAAATAAAAAACAAAACAAAACAAAAACAAAAACAAAAAAAAGTTCTAATTTTTAAATTTATGACTTCTAATAAATTAGAATAAATATGTTTCATGTAGATATATTAATTCCTTTAAAGGTAAATAATAATAGATTAGAATTGTTAACATTCTCTTTTTGCTTCTGAAAGGATAATTAATTGACAAGATATCATTGTAACTCTTTTGCAAATAATTCTATACAAATAATTGTACATATTACTTAAGTAAACAAATTCTTACAAACCTTATGGTTTTACTATCTATTACTTGCTATCTTAACTTAGTTTTAAAATATTTTATAATATTCATTATTATTGTTTGTATTTTTCATTCCTCTTTTACATAATTTCCTTCACTTCCTTATTCAACATAAAATCATCTTATTTTGTGATCTTCTATTTTCATATAATATATAATCATAGAAATTGGCATGTAAATTTTAAAAATATGGCATGGATTAATTTTTTTTTAAATCATCAAAGAGAAATTTTAAAATTTTATATTTATCAAATAAAGTATTAGTATATCAAAACAATAAAGAATATTCTATGATATAAAGGATGTACACTTAGTAGCTATAATTTTGTATTTAATACTTAAAGACATGGATTAATTTGATGATACTATTAATTAAGTTTTGAGTAAAGTTTAATAGATTAATTAAATTAAGACTTTCATCTTTATGATGTACTAGTAGAGTCTATGCCCTACACACAGTAGAAGAAATTATTATTTTAGAGATCTATATTTGATTGATTTATATTAATCAAATTTAATATATTACTAGAGGTATTTATTCTAATATAGCTTTTGAATGTATAAAAAACAGTTCAAAAAATAATTAATAAATTACACAATTAAATGTAAAATGATAGATTAATATTATAAATAATATTTTTCTAGAGTTTAATTAATTTATATTATTTATTGGTAGTCATGTTTTATTAAAAGATATAAAATTAAAATTTAAGATTCCTAATTTTATTTTATATAATGTAGCAATATGAATGTTAAATCTATAGGTTTTGTTTCTAATGTATGAAGTATATTTTAATTAATTCATTCTCTTGTATATTATTAAAATACTTTATTCTAGATTAATTTTAAATTATAGAATAAGAACTTGTATAACAATATTTATGTAAATATATATATATATATATATATATATATATATACTAGATTAACTATTGATTAAAAATATTAAGTTTCACAATACTACTATATATGTTGAGAATGTTCAGAAAGACATAAGAGTAGTAGTAAGTAATACACACACATACACAAGAGTAATAGTAAGTAATATACACAAGAGGGTTTCCAAGGAGAGAGAGCTTCACACATAAAAATCTCTTGATCTGGTTGTGTCTCATATACAAGAAGAGAAAGGGGAGAGGATAAACAGTTCTTCTCCACTACATTCCAAATATTGTAGCTACAGTATTTACTATAGTCTATAGTAAATATTATGGAGAGCACCGGCTACATTTAATGCTCTCAACACTCCTCCTCACTCATCATAATATTTACATAATATAAAATTTGTATAGAATTATGATCTATACTTTTCTATAATCTCGTAAGATCAATAATTGTTGCTTCATGAAAATCTTATCTAAGAAAACCTTATTGTATTTAAGGACAAAACCATAGATGAAAGAAAAAGAAGACAACATCATTTTTCTTAATTATTTAAAGAGCTCATTAACTTTCTTATTTAAGAAAAGCAAGTCACCACATATCAATGCCATAAGTAAGTCAATGATGATTGCACAATTGAAGAGCTTTGGTGAAGAGATCAGCAAGGTTATTTGTAGATTTAATTTTTTTAATTATAAATACTTGATTAATAATCAAGTCATTGATATAATTAAAATACTTTAGATCAATATGCTTTTTTATGTTGCCTTTGATGAAACCAACTTGCATTTGTGCAATACAAGTACTATTATCTTCATGCAAGATAGTTGGAGAATCATCATATGAAAATCCACATGTTGTTTGAGTGAATTTATCAATTGATTGCAATTAAATACATTCTTGAGATGCTTCATGTAAGGCAATAATTTCTGCATAGTTGGATGAAATTATAGTTATTGTTTGTTTCACTGATTTCCATGATATTGCAGCTCCATGTCTTAAAAATACATATCCTATTTGACATTTAGATGTTGGAGTATCAGATTTATGTCCTGTATCACAATATCTAAGCAATTTTGGATTTGCAGATTGTATGTAGTATAATCTTAAGTCTTTAGTACCTTTTAAATAACGTAATAAATGTTTGATGCCATTTCAATGTTGTAGTATTGGACATGCACTATGTCTTGCAAGAATATTAACTGCAAATGCAATATCTAGTCTTCTAGATGTAAATATAAAAGTATATAAAAGTGGTCAAATATAAAAGTGGTCAAACTGCTGCAAGGTATATATATTAATCTTCCAATGTTTCCTCCTCCTCC